TACTTCCCAAAGTTGACCAGTTAAGTAATAAGATATTAAAACATTTTTTTTTTTTTTTTTTTTTTTTATTATCTAAAAATATAGCTGTCACTGGGAGAGTTGTCTATTTGTCAATGTGGCAGTAAAGCAAGTTAATCATTATTGGATATTTTATCAAACATGCATACCAAGCATTCTTAGGATGAAAAAAGTCAACTATACTTCTCATGCACACATTTTTATTTGTTTGCTTATTTTTTTTTGGAATTTCTTACAAAACTACAAGGACTACCCATGTTAGCCATCCTAATTTTGAAATGACAGACTAGACAGAAGGCAGCTGGTAAACACTACTCACCACAAACTGGAACAGTTTATGTAAAAATTTAAAGTATGCTCATAGGAGGAGTTTCACAACAATCCCTCTCCTACCAAAAAAAAAAAGAAATGTGTGCGCATGTTAATGCCTAATTTATGATCACTGAAATAAGGAATAGTGGGAGAGATTAGTGCTTAACTATACTGAATAATGTTATTTAACAATCAAGGCTTTCAAAAGTATACCGATTATTATTATTAGAGATTCATAATGAAAAAGAAAACACCAACACAACTTTTACTTCACAAAATCTTTTTTAAACTTGTTTCTAGAGAATTCTTCTAGTTTTAGTTTTATTACTCAAAGCAAATTTTCAGAAGTTAAAAAAAAAAGCAAGGAAAACTCACTCCATGTTCTTCAATCTTCTCTGATAACCACGTATCCAGCTTCACATATTCTCGTCGATATGCCATACATGCTAAGTCTATAACAAAGGGAAATGAAGTAGAATTCATTAAGTCAGACAAAGCTTTCAAATCTTGTGTTACATCCAATATTCGTGATAGATGACTATGGTCATAATCTCCTCTAACACACCATTCAATCATAGCATGCATGACGATAGGTCTAACTGTGGCAGAATGGACCTGCAAATACATATTAAAACAAATAAATAAAAACTTATGCATACACTACAGTGACTATCATATGCAAATACACTAACTGTATAAACTTGAAAAACATTCACTGGCATCTTTGTATGAAGAAAAACAACAACAAAACACATATGAAGATTGATGCACAAGTTATAGATTTTGTAATTTTGACAAATAATTCTCCTTTTCTAATGATGGAATAAAGAGGATATATAGTATTAAGAAAGATAAATGTTAAAAATAGAGTTGAGTATCAATTAACAAAAGGTTATTCTGAAATATTAAAATACAAAAGCTACTAGTTTGATTTTTTGGCTAAAATATTATGTACATTATATTATCCTGCAATTTAGCTCTACTTTGTTATTGAAAACAACTGTTCTGCTTTTTGTTCATTATGTATGCTAAATAACCAAAAAATAATACCTAGAGTACCTTTATTAATAGCAATTTCCATAATTTTCTTTTGCTACTGAAGAATAATATTTTAAATGTCAACATTAAAGTCATCAACACTACAGATATTAGAGAAGTCGACATTACAAATATGTGTATGATAAAGTTCATTCTTTTGAACATTTTGATGATTTCTGAAGATTTTATTAATTGTTACATTTGCATTAAAACTACATCTTCCAACAATTTTCACACAAAAGCTTATATCAATGTGAAATAATCTGCAATTTTTTTAAAAACAAATAAATTACCAACTTTCATTGGAAGGATCTTTACTGCAACTTGTTAAAGAGCATAAATAATCAATTAAATAGCTGCTTTTTAAATGAAATATATTATAATAAAGAAATAGAAATGAAAGCTTTCATACCTCTGAATACCAAGCATATTGCAGAACTATAGCTGAATTGGGATGATTTTCTAAAAATATAGGAATCAAGTTGGACAAAATTTCTTGTTGTAAGAGGTGTAAAGGGCTCTGCAAAAAAAATTACATTCAAGTGCAAAAATAAGTGTCCATCTGCAAAATTTTCCTCTTGGTAATTCTCATTTCTAATACTTTAAAATCAGCTTTATATAAGAACACTAGGTTTAATTCAAGTTTTTGAAATGTACGCTCAGTTTTACGAAAAACAAAATGCTAAAAAAAATTCCAGAATTTCCTTCTGAAAGTTGAATATTTATTTTATTCAAAAAACTTCTATGACAGTAAACTAAAGTAAAGCACATTTTGTAAAAATATTAATTTTCAGAAGATATTTTAGTAATTATAGGCCTACAAAAATACCCGAAAAAGTATGAAAATTAATAGATACATTAAACATCCTCAAAAGAGACATTTTATCCTCCTTTTCTCATTCACCCAAAGTAGTACCAGATGTCGATACTGCTTGGGCTGCTTTTAAGATTCTCTTAAACTTGTACATTACAGCTAAACTGAAACAAGTTCTTCAACAAGCTGCAGTTACAAGGCAAATATTTTGTTAGAAATGTAACGTTTTAACGTAGAGTAGGAAAACTTTTTTTTTAAGGAATCATCATTTAATTATTGTTAAGAGCAGATTTTTGCTAGTGTGACAAGAAATAAGAGTTAATATCAGTTGAGCATAAATGCTAACACAGGTTATAATGACAAGCCAAATTAATATACCAGGAGTTTTTTTTAAAACTATCTTTACTACCCCAATAAATATGGTACTATATGCTCATCAATCATAACACAGCAAGTTCTACCTCCTAATGCAAAGTAAACATAGATTAGAAAAAAAAAAAAAAATGTTGGAATTCAATAATTAATTAAATTAAAGAAGATAAACTAATGGATGATATTATATTATTACATACCGAAATTTGTAGAAGACCCAAAGCCAATACATCAGGACAGTTTTGGATGGGAAACTTAAAAAGTTCTTGTACTGACCTGTAATAACCTACATCTGAAAGGTGAAGAAGAGTTTCTACCAAGTCCACAGACATCCTAGTAAACAGATAATTAATTTTTCAAAGTTTTGTTCGTACATTTCGAATTTTGTTGTTTTTAATTATCATATTTATACCAAACTCATTCAAATACCTCATTTTATCACCCTCTACCTGTATAGAAGTTTTCTTACTTATGGTCTGGTATGATCAAAAATAAGTAATTCTGGTTTTATACAACGAAATATGTATGTATATAAAAGTTATTACAAGTGTATTCTATTTCAAGAAGTTATTCAGTATTATAAGTCTGTTTAAAGATATTTCAAACTTTTTCACATTATTGCATTCAAATACCCATGTAATTCCCAACATTATACAGTAAAGTCTGAATAAAAGTTTAAACTAGAAATTTATGTGTTCCACATCCATAATAATATTTAATGATAATAATAAAACTACTATTTCTACAAGGTTTGCTTAAGACTACTACCAATTAGAAATATCTCTGTTCTTCTCTGGTGGGGGTTTTAAAATATCAGTTTCAATAGTGTTACAGCTGTAATCCAAAAGGCATAATACATCTGAGTTCTTTAAAATTTGTTGAAATAGTGAGAGCTAGAAAAGAAAAAGGAAAAAGAAACATTAATTAGTAATAATAATAATTTTATTGCTTTTTTATCTTTTAACTATTACTCCTTTTCATTAAGAGTTTCAAAATCTATATAAATACATTTGTTTTATTTCAATGCATTTACAAATTACAATTCATATGAAATTAAATTAATTTTAACGAAGTGAATTTTGTTCAATAAACTAAAATGATACTTTATTCAGGCTTAGTCATATACCTGTCCTTCAGAATTTCTCCAATGTCTAAATATATACTCAGATGGAAATATGTTATGGTCTAGTCCTATCATCAATGAATGCCACAAAAGTTTTATACCCTCTCTGTCTTTCACTATAAAACCAGAATGATCCAATTCCCATACTACATCCTTCCAATTCAAAGATGGTACCTAAAAAAGTAAAATATTATAATATGATAAAGGATACAAATTTAAAATTCACTTTATAGTCATACATTTACTAACATAAGAATTTCTTAATATCTTAGCTATCTGGTGCAAAAAATACCATAACATTTACTAGCAGATTTTCTAGAGAGAAAAAGAATAGAGCACTTGTGTTAGATCTACAGAGGAATAATAGTGTTCCTTTATTAGGAGATTATACAGAAAGAAAATTGTACATTTGAAAAGTTTTACTGAAAGATGAGTAGTTCTCAGAATTTATGCTCAAGGGATATTAAACCTAGCTTTGTTATTATGCAAAAATAAAGATTCACACATACTAGCTCATTAAGGGCTTGAACAAAAACATCCACATTCCAGTTGGAGTGTCCTTCTGACTTCTTAGAAACATCCCGCATACCTCTTGCCTCTACACCATATTCCTATAGTAGCATAAACCATTTACATATTTAATACTTTCATTTCATTTATTAGAAACTGCCAACTGCATGCGTAGGTGATGTTTCCAAGATTGTGAAATACACATTTCATTACAGCTTTATATTCTAATCACTTTTATACATTATTAATGATCTATGATAGAAAATTTCAATCTTGCACAAGTACATATCTAATATAGACTATATGCACTATCAATAAACAACACAAGCTTCTGAATATTTAATAACATACTAAAACAGTACATTTAACTATCATGCCTTTTTAGGGGCATCCTGACACAAGATGAAAATTGCACCATTGAGTTATAAAAATTACACAAAACTAATTTGTAGTCATTCTTTCACATATTAAAAACAAAAGAAATACCTAAGTTAAAAAGTATTTAATGAGCAGTTTTATTTAATTTTATACAACACACAAAACATGATATTAGATTGATTTCAGCCTGCTCAAAACAGAATCATTTGTTTGTAAATTTTCTTAATTCTTTTTAGTATATGGCTCTAGTAGCCACATAAAAGGAAAGTTTGATATTCTTAAATAACATTCAGCTAACTTGATCTTATAACTTTAATACAAGTATAGTTTTAATCGATTTTTATCCAATCACTATTTCTCAACATTGATTACTATGGTGATATGTACTTGCCTAGATCTCAACTTTGAAGTCATAGTCTAGAGATCTAAATACATAATGAAAGTTCTTTTTATTTTCAACTATATAAGCCAATATAACTCCCAATTCAATGGATATTCAGGTATAGATTGGAACAGAGAGATAAAAGATCTTAGTGATATGTTGCTGCCAAGATAGAGAAAAAAAAATTACCACAAATACAGACTTGATTTTTTTTAAAGTTGTTTTATCAATTTATACTTCATTTGAATCATATTTAGAAAAAATAATGTTTTTGTAAAAAAAGAAATGAGGTAGGCTTAATTAAATAATTTAGTACTTAATTGTAACAAGTTTCACTTCTCCAAAAAAGTCATAATATTAGGTTTTACCAGCCTAAGTAACTTCTTGAATGGGAAAAAGAAGTTCACTGAAACTGAACAAGTATATATGAAGATAATGTGTTTAAAACTTATTTGCATTGGAATGAACCTTCTAATAAAAAACAAAACAAAAAACATTTAAGGTGGTGTGCTTGTATTTTGGGCATTGTAAACAAGATGTTTTTATTGAACACCAAATGATCATAAACAAAGGCATTGCTAGGCACTGGCACATGGGTCCTGTGCCCAGATTCTATATGATAGTGCCCCAAATCCTCAGTTGGTGTCTTGCAAAATCAGAATAGAAAACCATGATTGATATCATACAAAAACACTTAAAAGTCTTGCACCTATGGGCCCAAGCCTCAAATCTTTTGAGTACTTAATGACACCACTGATCACAAACACATTAAAAGTGCATGCCTTGTTTTAAGAGTCATAACAAAAATACAATATACAGTTTTATAAACTAAAAACTGCAGGAAGTTTACAAAAATGAAGAAAGACAAAAATATGTAATAATATCTACAACAAAAGAACACGTTTTTAATGGTTTATTAAAAACCATATTACAATGAAATCTTAAAAGCCACAAACTTGTATAAATATCATATACAAATATTCACAAAAGCAGCATCATCTGCACTAATTTCTTATGAACTAGCTGTTACTAATGTGTGGCAAAGTTAAGACAAGCAACATATAAAAACACCTACCTGAAGTAAAATACCATCACCCAGCCCAGTATGTGTTCTTGCCATCAAGCCCAAAATTCTTGCCACAATTGATGGTGTGATCTGGTTCTGGCATAAATTAATCAAGTTTGACTTGCAAGCATCGAGGCTGAAAAACCACAAGATATTCATCTGTTTTCAGAATCAAATTACATCTGGTTACAGCAGAAGGTGTGTGTGTGTGTGTGTGTGTGTGTGTGTGTGTGTGTGTGTGTGTGTGTGTGTGTGTGTGTGTGTGTGTGTGTGTGTGTGTGTGTGTGTGTGTGTGTGTGTGTGTGTGTGTGTGTGTGTGTGAGAGTGAGAGAGAGAGAGAAAAAGCCAAAAACGTTAACAAAAAAGACAAGAAAGAGTATTTGCTCAAAACGTCAAGTTAATAAATTACTATAGTTTTTAAAGGTGATTTTTTTTTCTATAAAAGCCTAAAAGGATCTTTAGGTGGGCTGAGGATACAACACATTGTAGGGCTGAGATGCTATTTGTATTAGTAAATGACATGAATAGCAACTGTTTCAGTGCGAGCTGGATAAGGTTGGTAAAATGAAATTTTCAATTTTATTTCAGTTACTACATATCAGAAAAATCCAAAGAGCTACAAGACTACTGAACTAAAACTAAGGAACTGTAGTTGATGAACATAAACATATTTCATGACATTTTTAGAAACAAATTTCAATATAAAGTTAATGAACTAAAAATATTATAAATATGCTTATAAAAATACTGCTAGTTTCCTTTACAAATCTACATGTGTTAATTAGTTGAATACTTCTTTCACTGTTGGAAATAATTATTTTAAAACATTTTGAATAAGGAATACATAATATTTAAAGAACAATGTCAAAGCTTGTTAGATGGAGTACTTGTTCAACTTTTTTCAAAGTATGTTTCATGCATGTTTCAAATTATGTTAAACATCGTTAGAGATTCATACTTTGAGTACTTATTCAGAACAGGAACAAACCCAGGATATTGTACATGTGGGGAGTGGAGTACAAGTAGAGCTTCACTAGTATTACCAAGAAATTTATATTACTTTCACTCAGTTGAGTTATGATCACTGTTCATATATGTAAACAAGTGATTTTATCAATTATTCGACTAAATTCCTCAGCTCTACTTAATATTCATTTATATTGATTTTAATGATATAGAAAAAACATTGATGAAAAATTTGTTTCAGAAAAATTGGCTGACACATAAGGTCAGCAACTGTATTGTTACTAATAAGTGTATAAAAGAACATGGCATTCAAGTCAACACTTGCATAATATAGTATATGGCTGTGTCCTTTATCGTATAGTAGCATCTTAACATCTTTCAAAGTCAATATATTGTTAGTTTCTTCCACCACAACCAATAATGATAATAATACAGTAATTTCATTAAACATTGTTGTTATTATTACAGGTCCACATAGAATTAGGTTTGAGAAACAATATTCAAGAGTTAAATGTTAAGTTTGAAGAAAAAAAACATTAAAAAGTATGTTCAGAAAATTCCTAAATTATAATTCTCGAAACTCACCTTCCAAATAACTTCTTAATACTCCCCCCAAAGAAAAACATTCAAAAGGGATTCAATTACAAATCTTTTAATAAAACATGAATAATAAAAATACCTGAAAATCACAAGATCATTACCTTGCGGTAAAAAAGTACCCTATTTCTCTAACAAGGTCTACCACTGAATCATCAATCTAAACACAAAAGAAAGTTTGAAAACATTACTAAGAAAAGTCACAATAAAATAATGTTAAGAAAAACTTGTAACATTTCTTTATATAGATTAAATTGAGTAACAGATAATTTGAACAATAAAATACATACATATCCCATTTGTTAACAGATGAACAAAACTTATTTCAGGGCTAATGCAGATTCTATTTCAAGATATTAAATTTATGTTTAGAGAAAGCATTATTACTGCAACACTACGTGGACAAGACTTTATATATTCTTATAATATTTTTGTAAGCTAATTTTAAAATTACAGAAAAGAGCAAGAAACAATAATAAACTACTTCAAAATTTTTTACAAACCTTTACTTCAACTGGAGTTCAAGACAGAAATAGAAAAAGTGCTTTTCCTCTTTTTTAATATAAATTGCTTTTAATATTGTTTTACACAAATAATGTTTTCTCACATTCATTTTATAAGCACAAATTTCAGTCTGTTAGTGAAACTGAATCTAATTCAAAAAGTTAAGAAATATCTTAACAGCCTTATTTCAAAAACACATTCTTTCAGTTGCCAAAATAATAATAAAAAAATTAGTTTCAGACTAATAACAAGTACCTGTTCTGTAAATCAATATAGTACTGAACACAGAAAATTATATTCCTATTGGCTATGATGTTTTCAAATAAACAAATACAAGTACTGATGGTATAAAATTCAATGCAGTATATTGAGGAATAGGTATAAATGTCTATTTACTTATATATTTCAAAAAATAATCAAAAATTGAAATAAAAAAATAAGTTTTTTTAAATCTAAAATTGTTGGGATTGGAAGAGATCAGAAACTAGAGATCATTTGGGATGGGAGGAAAATCTGCATTACTCATTCCTGCATGAAGTAAATCCACCAAATTTCAGTTCAACACAATAACAACTCTTTTCATTATACATAACTAAAGGTCTATAACCATATTTTAAGACAAATTTTGAGCTGCACCTCTTTAGCCATTGTTCTTGACACAGAAACTGCTTTTTCCATAAAAATATCCTGTTTTGTGGGGTATAACAAGGGTGCCAAAATAACTGGTACTTTTTCTTGAGGAAAGTCTGACAAAAAGTAAACAAAAGATCAAGAAGTATTAGAAGGTCAATAAATGTGCAAAGAGTCAAATTAGAAGATTAAGGAAAAACTAATATTATGAAAAATGCTATTTATTAATGAAAATTGAAAAAATATATTCAATGTACTAGTAATTGCTAAACTTTTAAATACAATTATGCATTCAACAAACTGAGAATTTAAAAATATTGCACAATATAAACTGCAAAATATTTCACTTGAAACTCATTTTGCCTTTTCTTAGGTGTATGTCACAACTACAGTATAACATTGAGAAAGAAAACTATTTTCCCACAATCACACTATCAGATATTTTGCTTTTCTTGACAATTGTACAGTTAATTAATATGTAGCTAAAACACTTTTCTACTCCAAAAATAACAGAACTAAAATTTATCATAATTCCTATACTTAAGGCCATTTAGCATTTAAGAAGTGAGTGAAATTCCAGTTCAGTTTCTTCCTAAAGTGTATTTAAAGTACTCAATAAGTAAAATACTTTAAAATTTAAATTGTTTGAAGTATAAGTAATATACTAAACCATTAAATTCAAAATTTCTAAAATGCACTTTAATATATGCACTTCAAATAATTTTCATTCACATGCCATCTATTTTATTGTAAAAGTAGCAAGTATTAACACTTAGAACTAACTTTAACCACAAGAGATAAGGTCGCAATAGAACTATGACACGTCATGACAACACCCTTTATTCAAGCTTCTGTACTAAAAGGTTTGTAGTTGCTAGCCATAAGGTTTTCAGTTTGGGGAACCTAAAGTTTGTCTTCTTAGAGTCAAGTTTTAAAGGCAACAGCACAAGTTATTTCAATATTTGTACATTATTATATCATTAGGTATTTTAGCAATACATTTTTTTTTTTACATGATCAACAAATTTTATGATTAAAATAATCTTACTTTAAGGAGTAACTATTGCATCAAATATTTTTGTTTATTCCTAAAAGTTAAATTTACATTATATAGAAACAAATGACTAATAAAATTTAATTAAACCACATTTCACCCCCCCCCCCAAATTTCAACTTTGATCTTCATAATTAGGGTTAAGATTCTACTCCTATATCCATCAGAAGAAAACCTTTCCTCATTCCTAGCTATTGTCTCTTCCTTCATCTCCAGCATAAGAGAAGAAACTTTCCTCACTTATCACCACAAAGAAAGATCCGTTTTCATAACAACTTAAATCTGAGCAATGTTTGATGTAAAAATTCTCAGCAACTAGAATATCACTTAATCAAATTAGATTGGCAATACAGCTGTTATTAAAACCGATAATTAACCCCATATTTTATACTTATTATCACAAGATGAGAAGAAGTTTCAAACAAACATTAGTTACAATCAAATAGTGGAAATAAAATCAAAAGAGAAAGAAAGATGTAATTTTTAGAATATTTTTAAATTTTCTAACTCATTGTGCAACTTGCCTTCCCAAACTGTCATTTATTTTTCAAGACTGAAAATTTGAACAAGTAAAAATTCATAAATTCAATCACTTTGCTATGTCCAGTATATTTGAAGGAATAAAGTAATGAGTGTATAAAAATAATATAGTAAAACTATTTGCAAACATAAAAAAATATCATGTTTGTACACATTTTAGCACATTTGATCACATGACCCATGATTTTTTAAATCAAAACACTCATCTGGCAACTATAACTAACAGATTCATTTTTAGTTACTTAGTATTAGACTATACAAGACATTACTATTAAACTTTGGCACAAATGTACAAAGTGCTAAAATTTCATTACATATAATGCAATGTCTTGAAATGTTGCAAACTTGCCTAGTGTTATAAGTGTCATTTTTATTACTCTTACTTTTCTAATTTATGTACTGACAGAACAACAAAGCCTTATTTAAGATTTCAACAACAACTTAAGTCCCCTGCTCAACCAAAACCATGGTAGGCTGATATAGTAAACTTTTATATATTTGACTATATATATTTGCTGCATAGAAAAACAAACATTTATTGTTTTATATTTGTAAACAGTATAGTATGAATGTTTGTTTTAATGAAAAAATTAAAATGAGCACATCAAATTGTTCACATAATCCAGTGGTGTAGGAAGGAGTTGTAAAGTGGGGGTGCTTGGCTAGACATGTAGATGTTACAATAAGAGATTGAAAGAATGAGGAGCTGCTAAAAGCAACTCCCATGCTGCCAAAGGCAGCTCAAACTAGAGATGGGGAGGGGGGAGATGCCCTCAGAAAATTAATATAATAATACAAGTTACAGTTATTATACAAGTCAAATATGTAAAAGTGGGAGTGTTACAACATCCTTTGTAATCTATACTTTTACTTTGAAAACAGTTTGTTGTTTAAAACATCCAATTTCTAACTTTTATTTATTTTGATTACTAGAAAACAATTTCTCACCTCTTCTCAGAGTTTGCAAAAAAGCTTCTTTATCTTCACTGCTCAGCCCAGCTTTGTCTTTGGAAGTATGGAGGATAAAGATTAACAACAGATGAACAAACTCGGTTGAAAAATCCTGCAAGCTTTGTTCTAGACCTCCTTGGAATATGACCAACAAAATACACTAATATTTAATCAATTCTAACAAGAACTTCATACAACTGAATAAAACAGAAATTACTGTAAAGTTGATATTAAAAAAAACAAGAATCTTGAGCAATATTACATTGTGATCTTAATTTCTAAAGAAGAAAGTGATTCAAAAATATTAACTACAGTTTTAAAATTACTAAAAGCAAGATAAAAGATAAACCTCAAACTAAAGAAAAATTAGGTTTAATTTTTAGTATTCAGTAGATAATTTAGTCTCAGTTTCATAGTTTCAAAAATCATGGTTTTCAGTTCTTTAGCTGCTATCAGAATGTTTTTATCTTATTGATAGATTAGCTAAAAACCAATCAAGTCAAAGTAGATTTTCTTCATTCTATTTTATTACATGATGTATCTTTTTTTAAAAAAATGGATACTTGAAAGCAACATGAATTACCAATATAGTATAAAAAAGTAGTCTTATTGAAGTAGACCCATTTGCCCAGTCAAGTCTTAAATGTAAAAAATTAGAAAATTGTTAGGTTAAATAACAGAACACAAAAAGATTATTTTAAAATCACAAGACCAGCTCAGGCTAACTGAATTATTTGATCATAACTTGATCAGTTGTTTACACTGTTTCCTCTCTGTGGTAGTTGCTGTATTAATTGATTGTCTCATTGTTCTATAGGGCTTAAATGGCACTGTAAAGTAATAAAATTAAAAAACTTCATATTTATAAATTTTTTTTGTTTCACTATTTTTGCTAATTGGTGTCAGGGTAGAGAAAATAAGAAAATAGCTTTACAAAAAAAAACAAAAACTTAGTATTCACTTAGGAGTTTCTAAAGGTTATGCAAATGAACACTTTTGCTTAATCTGACTTAGAAGGCTTTGTAAATTCACAACTCTTTAGTAGACATACAGTATTACAAAATCAGTTTTATTTTGTTAGATGAAAGCTTGACAAAACATACACAGTATATTCAGAATTTTAGTACTAAAGTCCCATTATTACAAGGTTTGCTAAAATGACAAAGCCCAATTTCAGAGAGTTAAAGTTGAAACACACAACGATCAATTACCTGAGTTAGTGTAAGCCTGTAAAAGTTCTGGGATCTTCTCTTTTACAAATTGGATTGCGTAATTACAGATATCACCATGTGAAGAATGAAGAAGTGCAAGTCCAAATGCTACTTCTTGCACCTGGGTAAGTTTAAGCACTTTACTTAAATTTGGCAGAAGATGAGGATGTGGGTTTAAGCTCTAAAAGAATGAAATAGACTTACGTCCATACACTTGTATAATTCATTGAACAAGATCTGAACCGTAGAAAAAGAAGGAGCTTACAGGTATGCCAAACAGCATTTAATTTTTTCTACCACTAGAAACATACAAAATAAAAGCAAGCTTTTTGAAATTTGTCTAGTAAAATAAGTAATCAAAATCACCTTAGTTGTGAATAAAAGGTGTGGTCAAAAAGGATTGAGCATGCAATTTAAAAGAATGTAATTACAATTAGCAGTCAAACTGGTAGCTACACTTATAGCATTGATAAGAATTTTATGGCAAATATTCATTTACTAGTTAGCTAGGCCTCATTTTGTTTTACTCACCATCATGCCTCAAGTTGAACAAAAAAATGCAGCCTGACTAACTAATGAATGAATACTTGCTGTAAAAGTCTTATCAGTGCTGTGTAGATACCAGTTTGGCTTTGTCAATATACAATACAAAACCACAAAGAGTAAGATACATTCTATAGTAACCACACATCAGCTTTAGGATCGTAACCCTATTATTTGGAACAGACCTATACTTTACAGAACCAACCAGATTCTTTAAAATATATGGTGGTAGTTTTCCTCTCTAAAATAATGTTAATAACTTCCTTTATAGTAATGCCCTGGAAACTAGATTAACAGTTTCTTGTCATCACCCATGTGCACTCAGTACAGCTGTGTCAAGCATCATTATTTATGCTAATTGCTTAAGCTCATATCATGACACTAAACATTCCTTAAATAGGAGTATTTCATAAAATTTAGCAAATTTGTGCTTAAAAATTGGTAATGAATAATAACCATCCACCTGTACAATTCTTTTGAGAACTTGATAATGAAAATGCTAATCTAGTTTGATTGGCCAAACCAATACTTATATATCTGCACATGCTTTCACCATATAGTTTTGCTGCTCTAAATCAGCTGTTTTTAATACAAATTATGAAAACTAAAAACAGTCTACCTTTACTCTTGGATGAAGCTGTAGTAAAAATTTCAGACCAATAGTTCACTTGACTTTTTGCATAGGCATGTGCAAAGATTTTGGTCAAAATTGAGATTTTTGTTGAATAACTTGGTGACTTATATTTTGACCAAATTTGACACCTAATTGTAAAGCTTGTAGTGATATATCAGTGTACCAAATTAAAAAAATAAAAATTCCATAAAAGTTGAGTATATTTGTCAAATAAAGTTTCTGTACTTTCAGTTGGAAGAAAAAATTAAATCAAAATTGGAGATTTTATATATTGTGTATTTCTTAATGAATTGCCTTGAAATCTGGTATGTGAAGTAAGGGTCCAGTACAGCACATCCAGTGAAAATATGCTATAGTTTGGATTATCACAGTCAAAGCTACAGAAAGTGGGAAATTGCTAAATCAATACTCTTGATAATAATAAAATGTGTCCTGCAGGTTTTTTTTGACACACAACACACTATCATGCATCTTCATAAAACTTAGATAAACAGCTACTGTATTTTTCTAGCCTACAGCTGTAACTATTTATATTAGATTGTCTTTACAGGTGTAGCCAAGTCCTAAAGATTACAAATTTAAAGAGTTATAAAACACTTAAGCAAATTCAAAGTTAAAGGTTCACTTAAGGATTCAAGTTTACAAAGATTGAATAATATGTTTTTCCCCACTTTCAGTAAAACAAACCTAAGATTGTGTCCACTAAAATATGAATTTAACCCATTGACTACTGATCTGCCATATATGATATGGTCCACCTCAAGCAGTTGAATGTTTGTGTGTGCTGTACTAGTGTAAGGCTTGCAAAAATTCTGTGTGCATTTAGAGTAGTCACAGTCAATGGGTTAAGTATTGAGAAACAGGTAATATTATTGCTATCTTATATTTTTCACTAATATTTCAGATCTTTTAAAAACTTGTGGCAGTTTGTTTTACCACCACATTTTGAAATTTTGTTATGCTAAATATTATGTGAATGAGTATGATAAACAATTGAACAAATATCTTACCTTTTGATGATGAAAAAGTTTATCAACTGCACTACACAAACTTGACACAAAACTGGGCTGGCTTATTAATGAGCTACACTCCTGAATTAGGTACTGAATCTACTAAAATAAAGATATTTTAAAACAGAAAAAAACACTACAGGACAAATATATATATATGGAAAATAAATTAAGAAAAGATGCCAGGATTAATTAGTGGTATTTGAGAATTGTAGGCCTAATTGCAATCTTGAGGACACTCGAAACAATACAGTACACTGCATTTGAGAGTAAATTAATGTATTTAGAATCTCAATTACAGCAAGTAAACATTATAGCAAAAGTCCATGAAGTAAGGTGTGTGTGTGTG